CCCTCCCTCCCTCTCTCTCTTTCTTTCTTTCTTTCTTTCTTTTTCGCGGGCGGGGGTGGGGGAGCTTTCCAGACAGGGTTTCTCTGTGTAGCCCTGGAACTAGCTCTGTAGACCAGGCTGGCCTCGAACGCACAGAGATCCACCTGCCTCTGCCTCCTGAGTGCTGGGATGAAAGGCGTGTGCCACCACTGCTCCTGCCTCTTTTTTTGTGTCCCTCCATTCACATTAGAATCCACTTCCTCTCTGCCTGACTCACCACATGGCTACTATCAGGGACAGCCTAGCCTTTTAGGTCTGGTTTCTCACTGGTCCTTCATTCTGAACCTGCTATTTCTGCCATCTCTCCTGTCCTCGCTGCACTTTGGCGCCTTGGCCACAGTCCTCTTCGTTCAGCTCTCTTCCACATGTCTAGTCCAGCCTGAGTGGTGAGGGCTGTACCTTGGCCACGCGCCCCATACTCAGTCCCCAGCTGGACTGCTTTTGGTTTGTGACCCATCCTGACATCTATGCTGTTTGAATGAGTGAGTTCGGGCCGTTTACATTTGGTATGGTTTTATTTTATTTTATTTATTTGACTGAACATGAGACTTTATTGACCACAGCTACTTGAGGGGGGGGGGGATGAAGCGGGAGGAGTGGGCGGCACCGATGCCAGGCCGGCCGTGCTTCGTAGGCTTGTAGGTAATGGAGCACTCGCCCAGGTAGCGGCCAATCATCTCCGACTTGATCTTCACCTGGTTGAAGGTCTTGCCGTTGGACACGCCCACCATGCTCCCCATCACCTCGGGCAGGGTGGTCGTGTCGCGCAGGCGGGTCTTTACCACCTCGGACTTCTCCATGGGCGGCGCCTCCTTCTTGGCCTTTCTCAGGCGCTTGAGCAGCGAGTGCTGCTTCCGCCACAGGCCACGGTTGAGGCGTCGCTTCTGCGGGGCGCTGTAGAGCTGCTCATAGGACGTGACCCGCAGCTGGTTCAGGTCCACGCCGCGGTAGGTGAACTTGCGGAAGGTTCGCTTCTTCTTCTGCTCCACCTCGGCCATCTTGGCGGCGACTCGGAAAAGCTTGGTATGGTTTTAGATATTTAGCTGGGATTACAGATGTGCCACCACATCCAGATGTGTTGAGGGTGGAGGTCTGCACTTTGTGCTAGCATGCAGTCTACTAACATTGCTACAGCCCTGGCTCCTTGTTTTGTTTTGAGACAAGGCCTCATTGTCTAGCCCTGGCTGGTCTAGAACTTGTATGCAGATGAAGCCATCCTCAAACTTGTAGAGGTCTGTCTATGCCCCCGAAAAGCACAGCTCTACATATTTTCTCTTTCTTTCTTTCTTTCTTTCTTTCTTTCTTTCTTTCTTTCTTTCCTTCCTTCCTTCCTTCCTTCCTTCCTTCCTTCCTTCCTTCCTTCCTTTTTCTGTTTCGTTTTGTTTTTTAAGACAGGATTTCTCTGTTGCTTTGGTGCCTGTCTTGGAACTAGCTCTTGTAAACCAGGTTGGCCTGGAATTCACAGAAATCCGCCTGCCTCTGCCTCCTGAGTGCTGAAATTAAAGACCTATTTTCTTTGTTTTTTCTTTTTATTACGTCTACAGACTGTAAAAGATTTAGAGATACTTGGTATCTGTCTTTTGTTTGTTTTTTTGAGAATTCTTGGAATTCAGTATGTAAATCAGGCTAGACTCAAGCTCACCTGGCTGGGATTAAAGGCGAGCATAACCACGCCCTATTTTTTCCCCAAACAATACAGTCACTGTTATCCCTGTTATCATTCATCTGTCACAATAATTTAGCCGCTTTCCTTTTTTCTTTTTTTCTGTCTTTTCTTTCCTCTCTCCCTCCTTTCTTTTTGTCTTGTTTTGTTTTGTGTTTCAAGACAGGGTTTCTCTGTGTAGCCCTGACTGTCCTAGAATTCACTCTGTAGACCACGCTGGTTTCCAACTCAAGAGATCCGCCTGCCTCTGCCTCCAGAGTGCTGGGATTAAAGGCGTGCGCCACCACCGCCACCTGGCTTCTTTCTTTTTGGAGAGGGGCTCTCGCTAAGTAGCCTGTTGTGTAGACCAGGCTGACCTCACTCACAGCTATGCCAGCCTCTACCTCTTGAGTGCTGAGATCAAAGGCATACAACAGCTTTCCACCTTCTTTTCTTTCTTTAATTTCACAAATCAATTAGTTGCGGTGGTCGTTTGAATGTAATAGTCCGCCCATAAACTCATTGTTAGGTACTATTAGGAGGTGTGGCTTTGGAGTAGGTAAGGCCTCGTTGGAGGAAGTGTGTCACTGTGGGGGTGGGCTTTGAGATTTCCTATAATCAAGACACCACCCACTGTCACAGACCATTTCCTGTTGCCTTCTGTTGTAGCCAACACCACGTCTGCCTGCACGCTGCCATGATTATAGTGGACTGAACCTCCGAACTGTAAGCGAGCCCCCTCGATGAAATGTTTTCCTTGTAAGAGTTGCTGTGGTCATGGTGTCTCAGCAATAGAAACCCTAACTAAAACAAGTGCTGCTAAAAAAAAGTTTTTATGAGTGTGTGTGTGTGTGTGTGTGTGTGTCCGCACACTCAAGCACCCGCTCACTCATTAGAACTCGAGGAACAACTTAGGAGAGTTGGTTCTGTTTTACCCTGTGAGAGCTGATGAGTGAGCTCTGGTTCAGGTTGTTAGACCTGGCTTCCCATAGCTGCTGAGCCCTCTCACCACCCGGATGCTGTTTTAAATGCTGTGTGTGCTTATCGCTGCCTTGGCTGTCTCCCCCCCACATCTTCAGCGTCTGGTTTATTCAGGTTTTCCTCTTCATCTCAGCTCTTCCTAGGATTATAGCAATATTTTATGGCGATGGTTTTTCAGTCAGAAAGTTTCAGTTTCTACTTGGCTAAAACTTTGATTTTCTCGTATTGAAGAATTAGTTTTACTGGGTATAAATACAAGCTTGACAGTTGTTTGCTCTTGGTACTTACAGGCGGCGTTCCGCGTGTGTTTGCTTTTTAGACAGGGTCTCACTGTATAACTTCCTGGCCGTCCTGGAGCTCACTTTGTAGACCAGGCTGGCCATGAACTCACAGAAATCCTCCTGCCTCTGCCTGGGGCTGAAAGCAAGTGTAGCACACCTGGTCTTTCATTGTTGATGTAGAAGTTGCTGGCCCAGTTAGGTCCTCTGATTGCTCTGTGGGTGGGGAGAACAGAGTGGAAAACTAGGCTTTTGCTGTTCGCTGTGAAAGTGTGAAGGAGTGGATTTCGTGCTGCCGCGCCGAGGATGTTAGGACCTTAAAACAGGAATGGACAGCCTGCTCAGACCCCCCCAAGCTTTCTGAAAGCTTGGAGCCATGTTCCTTCTTTCTGGATCACCGACCAGTGCCTGGCTCACTGTTGGGAAGAGTCATTGCTTAATAGATACCTATTGATTGAGCAGAATTTATGGTAAAATCAATGTTACTCTTCTTGAATAATAATAAGAATGTTGTAAGGCCACCTGTCCTGTGATTGTGGACGAGTCCGACTTGCTCTTCTGGCCAGTCTCTGAAAGGCACTTTCTAAGGTATTCTGAGGTATTGCAGTTTATGTGCAGTTTATGAGTGTTGCTACGACACCAGATGTCAACTCTTGCCTCACAACTGGTATGAAGAGATAAGAGGGCTGTTGAGAGAGCACGACCTAGAGGTAGCTGGACATGAACTGGAAGAGAGGGAAATGGGCCAGTGTGGCGCATGCCTTTAACCCCAGCACTCAGGATGCAGAGGCAGTGAGTTTAGGATAGCCAGGAATACATAGTGAAATTCTACCTTGAAAAACAAACGAAAGGAAGAAAGAAAGAAAGAAAGAAAAAAGAGTGAGCTTCCATAATATAGGGACTGGGGTACATTGCTGGCCTGGTGTGCACAAGGCCTCAGCAGAGGCCAGGAAGGGACAAGAAACACATTATAAAATCTTGACAGCTGATGGTGGTGGCGCACACCTTTGATTCCAGCACTCTGGGAGGCAGAGGCAGGTGGATCTCTGTGGTTTAAGGCCAGCCTGGTCTACAGAGTGAATTTTAGGACATCCAGAGCTACGTGGTAAGACCCTGTCTGTGGGGGGAGGTGGGAGGGAAGGAAAGGAAAGGAAAGAAAAGAAACCCTAAACCTCCATTGGTGGAGAACTGGTTAATGCATCTCGCCACCCTGCAGTTGTAGGTACCGGAAGATTGAAATCCACCACGTGCTGTGCTGATAAATATACTTGGGGTGATCTGAGAAAACGAGGGTAGAATGCCTGGCTGAGAAGGACTCTGCACTTCGGAGACTTATAACTGCTTTCCTTGAGTACAGGAACCGGCCTCTACATTTTGAAGTTTGTTCCTTGTGCCAAAACCTGGTAGCCTAAGGAAGGATTTGGTGTGAGAAGATAGGAGAATGGGATGGGGGCGGGGACGACCCCAGGGTGCTCAGGCACTCCTTCCTGCGACTTTCAAGCTTATCATTTGTTTTTAAAGATTTTTTTTTTTTTCGAGACAGGGTTTCTCTGTGTTGCTTTGGAGCCTGTCCTGGAACTCACTCTGTAGACCAGGCTGGCCTCAAACTCACAGAGATCCACCTGCCTCTGCCTCCCGAGTGGTGGGATTAAAGTCGTGCACCACCGCCGCCTGTGCTCTATCTGCATGTAACTTTATGCCAGAAGAGGCCATCAACTCCCACTATGGATGGTTGTGAGCCACCGTATGGTTGCTGGGAATTGAACTCAGAACCTCTGGAAGAGCAAGCAGTGCTATTAACTGCAGGACCATCTCTCCAGCCCTGCTTTTTTTTGTGTGTGTGTGGGGTTGTTTTGTTTTTGGTTTTTCGAGACAGGGTTTCTCTGTAACAGCCCTGGCTGTCCTGGAATTCTCTGTCGACCAGACTGGATTCAAACTTAGAGATTCACTTTCCTTTGCATCCTGAGAGCTGGGCTTAAGATGTGTGCCACCCTGCCTAGCTCCAAGTTCTCTTCTTTTAAATTGATACTTCATTGGTCAAGAGCCTGTCTTCCTCCATCTACCTTGGTCTAGACCCAGTTGAATGTGTGTAAATCTCTGCTCCTGTGTCTCCAGGGCAAAGCTTAGGCAGTAGGTGGTGAAGGCAAGCCCTGCCAGCTGCATCAGACACAATGAGGGAGATTAGAGATGGACTCTGCAGTCCTATATTTGAAGTGGCCAGCTTTCATCAGAACGTCTGAACTTCAGTATTATTTCAAGGGAGCTTTTATTACTGCCTGTGAACTGGCCTCAGGTAGGTGCCGGCCACTGCCAGATGCCCAGAGAGATCACTTCCTGCTCTCTGAAGCTGATGCCTTTACTTTGTCTTATGGTCAAGAAGTTTTCAGAGCCGAAAGCACTTAGTCCTTGGGAGATTCCAACAGAATACTTTTTAGAAAGTATTCTTCTATACAGAGGTGTAAATTGGGTGGTATGCCTTTAATTTAAGGGGAGAAAAGTTACATATTTTTTGTCTTTATTTTTAGTCTCAAAAACATCTGCATTGTTTTCCAAAGCCGGGGTATTGACTGCTTTCCCTGTGCTGAGGAGAAGCGCTGTGTAGACAGAGCTGGAGCCGTTAGCCGTGTATGTGTATAATACAAGACTAATTTACAGGCTACAGCTTCAGGAAGAGCTGGATGGCTGTAAGAGATATGGAACCCTCCTGTACCGGCTGACCTGGTGTGTGATACCAAGTTAGAGTTCCTGTGTCTTCACAAAGGCAGGGTCCTTCCAGGTGGTGCTCACAGGAGTAGAAAGTTCTTGGGATTTGCATGTCGGAGCTGATGGGCGCAGCGCCCTGTCACTCGGCAATTTCGCCAGGGACACATCCCGACAGCCCGCCTTTCCCTTGACTGTGGGTCTCCTCGGCCATCTGGGTGCCATCCTGTCACCTTGTGAGTTTCCTGCCCGGTGATGGGGTTGCGTGGGTGAGTGAAGAGGGGCTGCCCAATAAATGTTCCCCAGAGAGATGCGTTTTGATACTTAAGATAGGCTTTTGATCATAACAAGGCCTGGAGGCATCCAGCCGCCTCCCTTGCTCCTGAGGTTTTCCTGGTACGTGAATAATCAAGCCTGTGCCAAGTGGAGTTGTGCTCCCTTGGGCTCCAGGACACCAGTTTGAATGAGGACCACGTCTAACT